GTTCCCGTCAACCTGGTCCCTCTCAAAACCTACATGTGATTAAAGGCTCCATGTCAATCAACCATTCGTTGATAAGTTCGTCAGGAATTGATTGAATAGCAAAGTTCTTCTTCACAATAGTCTGGGTTCCATCCTGGTTAGTTTACGTCCGCTCCCATAGTCGCTACCACCAAGGACTGGTGGTTGGTGGTAGCGACTGTGGGAGCGGACCGCTGCGGACGTAAACTAACCAGGATGGAACCCAGGCTATCACAATAGATGTTTATGAGTTGAATGATAGCCTGTACCAGGCTTCAGAGGTGGTTAGAAAGAGTAGACTTGGCCAAAAAGACAGAAGACATACCAAGGGAATTATTCCTTTAGAGGACCAGCTCTGGCATGTTATCTGTCTATTTGGTCGTCTACTCTTTTCAGACAGAGAAGCCAGCCAGAGAGCCTTGTGAGAAGCCTGGTAGAGGCTAATAGAATGAGACTATCCTACCTTGGCACATACTCGGCCATGTTGAGCAGTTGGAGACAGTGACTGACTTGTTTGATAGACAGTTGGGAGAGTTCTGTAGGCACATCACTTAGGCTGGAGAACATCTGCACATAACAAAGAAAAAAAACAAGAAAACAAACAACTTTCGATAAAATAAAATGGGGGGGATTATTGGGCGAGAAAAGTACAACGAGCTTGGAAGGGTCACCTACACATACTTAGTTTAAATAGAACCACAGATAGAAGCAAGCAAAGAACCGGTACCCTTCCACCGTTTTGCAGTTTGCAGTGCAGACTATTTTCATCAATTACTGATTAGGCCACACCAAGTAAATTTTATGGATGACGTCCTTTGGAGACCCTAAATCTAATGCGAGAGGGCGAAAAAAAAAAACAAGAAGGGCCCTAAAAAACAAGATGCCTAGATTAGAAATATACTACGAGACGACAAATGTTAGGACACAAATTGAATGAGATGACACAGTGTAACAAGCAAGAAGTCTTTTATTCATCATCAAAACAGCAATAAATCAGGTGGAACAGCAGTTGTCGTCCTGTCCTGTTTTCACGTTACGGGTTCCACGTCAATGTGACGATTTGCGGCACTGTCGTGACTCTTTGGTCATAGTTACAGGA